AACAAAAATCAATTTAAAATCAATCTTTAATTTTGATTGAGGAATCATGTTACAGGCATTTATAACTCTACACCTAAATATTATCATCAACAAAACAATCTAATAGTGATATAGGATTTAAACTACACACAAGAATCTTTTCTATCTAAATAAATTGAAACAATTACACTTTCCTATGAAAAAAATAAACATTCAAACCAAAAATATGTTAATGCGTGTTTAAAATACTGATTAAAAGTTTTAATAATAGAAAACATACATATTGCATTAAAAATTATACTTTGTTATTAAACAAAATTTTCAAAATAATATTATTAAAGTAATCGTTAAAAGAATTTAGAAGAATAGTAAATAAAAATTTCCTAGGGACGAAGAAGAAAGGAAATAAAGCAGAAATTAAAATAGTAAGTTTTTGTATTTATTATTTTGCAAAATAAGTTGCAAGAGGAGGCCTACTCTATCATATCACGTCGTTACATATTCGGTTGTACTTTCGTCTGCATTCAAATTCATATGTACTTTAATCATCCCACTCAATGACCAAACGGTTAATGGTAAGGGCAAAATAGATATAAATATAATTCAAAATTACGACCTGGATTAGAAAGGAGTCAGAAAATTACCGAAGGTGGAGCACGCCGCAGAAGATTTCACCACTAAAACTGCGACTCTCACAAAACCTAGCAGCAACACAATTCCGAGCGCCACCGCCGTCCGGTTGGAAATCCGGCGGCCGGCGATGGTGTCGGCAGGAGCAGTTGTCGGCGATACAGCGACAAGTTTCTTTATCTCCTTCGCGGATACATAGAACGTCATCTTCCGAATTCCATTCGCCTCTACCTAACTTTTTTCTCTTCGTTGAATTCCTCTAATATCAGATCTGAACCACTTACACTCGCAAGGTGATGCGAGTGTTGCATTCGCATGAATTCGATCGGTTTTTCTGTGAGGACACCCGAGGATATTGAATTGAATCGAGAGAGAGGAAGCGAGTGGAAAATGCGAAAACCAAAGTCGCGGGAAATGATTATATTGCAAAGACACGTTGGTGTTGGAGGATTTACAAACTCGCTTTTCGCCACTGTTTTTCTCGTTATTTACTCTTTTGACACTTCCTCACCGACACCTCCATCACGTGGCGTGGCCAAGAAATTCTTTTCTTTCAAATCTTCCTAACACCACTATTTTCATTTTTTTTTATATCTATGCATTAATATAATAAATACGATACAAAATTTGTTTTATCACATTTTCTTTATAAAAAAATTAATTTACTTATTTTAAATTTTTAATGAAAAAAAAATTTTAAAAAATTGAGTAATGAGAGTATGACGCGAAAATAACTCTAATATTTAATTCATATATTTTAGCATTTTAAAAGTTTTCAGATTAAATTAATTTGTAAGTATTCAATGAAAAAAAATATTTTGTTTATAATTTATTAGTTTAATTTTATTTATTAAAACCCCAAATAATTTAGTAACTTAACTACTAACTTAGCTAAACTTTTAAGATTATCTTTTGGAAACCTAAGGCTTTTAAATGATCAAATAATGACAAAGAAGTAGGAGCACTGTACCACTTTACCACCACTTTAATTTCTTTATTATTTTCGAAACTAATGTATGTATCAAAGCTCCTCGTGTTATTTCGACTTTTTCAATGCAGAACTGTGCTCTTATAAATTATGCGAGTTTTTTCTAGTCCTAATAACATTGGCATGAATTATTAATAATTTGTGTGTGAATTTCTAATAATATTTGTTATTCTACGCTAACTTAGTAAACAAATACTGTTTCATGATTAAAAAAATATATAAACTTCAGCGACTGTAGGTTAGATAATGGTCGCAGACTGGGATTTTATCCGATCCAAAAAAATTGGTTAATATTTGACCGAAGAGTAAGTCTCCTCTTCGTGAATTTCTTTATTCAATTTCGTCGTTTTGACCGTTTACTTGGTACCTGAGCTCTTCAACGATGTTTTATAATATGGAGTGTCAAAATTCTTTTGATTGATGTCTTCGATCTTATCCTTTCGATTATTTTGGTAGGTACATCTTCGAATTTAGATTCTATGAATATATTATAAGGTTCAAGTTAATCGTTAAATAATTATTTATAAAAAAAAATAGAAATAGAATAACCTAAGTTTTTTTTTATCGGGCTCACTTTTATTTGTATACATGTGACTAGGTGATATAGCTTAGAATTTTACAAAGTGTGATGTGTTACAGTTACTGAATGTTCAACTAAATTTTTGAATAACATAGTTTTCTAAAACTTATGGTAAGTGGTAGTGATTGTATACCTAACAAAATTAGATAGATCTGCAAAATCAATTGGTAAAAAGATGACGCGTGAAGAAAATGTGTAGATGAGACAAAGAGCAAAAAGGAGTGATTTAGTGTAGAAACATATAAAGAGAAATAAAGATATTGAGTTATTTATTTTAGACTTTTCCTTTCGTTCTTATTGTGTTGGTGTTTATTTTCTTAAAATATGAGTTTAATACATGACCTGATAATATTTATTTCTATATGAGTTAATGTATAGAACCTAACCAGTCTAATAACTATGATAATTAGATGTTATAATATTTTCTCGTGTTCTTTAACAACTCATTACTCTATCTAATCAATAATTAAGTGTGTATGTGTTTTATAAACTTCCATTGAAAATCACTGTCAAACATATCTTCAAAATGATCACAATTATAATATACTAAGTGTTTTAAATCTTATTTATAGATTTACTTAAAATAACAATTTATGCTTTATGTTGATGACATTTTTCTTAACTTTATTATTTTAATGATTCATGATTTCTAATACTTTTCATTTATTTTGTGTGGCAAACCTTTTAGTTATTATCTTTTCATGTTTTTTAGTTTTTTATATTTTTATAAACTTTTTTAAAATGTTTATATTTTTTAGTAAAATCATAACTTATTAAGTCAAGAAAAACAATTCTTAATGTACAAAATTATAAAACTTATAAAAAATAATATAGCAATATACTGGATTGACCAGTACAACATAAATTTATTCTCAAAACATAAAAGATTAAAATTTTGAAACTGAAAGCTATGTCGGTTATGTTAATTATGAAACATATAAAGATGAACACAAGTAATGTAGACTTTCAACTCATATCATTAAGGAATAATTTCTGCTGTGTTTTCTTTTCTTTTCTTTTTTTTTGAGTTGATTTTATTATACAAGTAGTTAAGTTAAAAAATAAAAATAGTGCCAAAATGTATGAATAAGTAATTCTACGTTGATGTGGAAACATATCATAAATCTCAAGAAGAATAAAAAAGAAATTCATTCCATAAGAGTAAGATATCATAGAGTGAGGAAGCTAAGTAGCTAGAATAAGAAACAGCAAATTAAAGTTATATAAGTCAAGTAGTTGAAATAGTAATCTAACGACTCTATAGCAATCTACACCATCTATACGGTCTAAATCTAAACCAACTTAGTTACACTCACTTCTCATTCATATGATAAGTGTGCATGCGTTGATGCAATATCTTTGTCAAATTCTTATATCGATATATCATAAACAATCACTTCTAGAATTGGGTGGATGAGTAAACACCTTTCTAAGTGTCTTATTTATTCTTTTATTTTAAACAATTGAATATTCTCCCTCAATTTCATTTTTTTTTACCACAAAGATCGCTATCAAGCTCTCAAACGTGACAAGACTATATACCAAGATCAAGCACCTCCTATGATCAAGAAATATATTTTTTATGTACATAGAAATATATTGCATGTATTCCACAATCAATGCCATATTTTTTATACGTTAAAAAATACACTGAACAACAAAATTCTAAGGAATAAAAACTTATAAGTGCCATGAATGTAACAAAAAAAAAAAAATTCCAAATGACATAATAACTTATTTGAAATCTTTGGGAAACGAGTTAAACAAAGTGTAGTGCACATAATTTCAAGGAGGAAGAAAAAATATGACATGATTAAGCATGTTGAAAATAACATGGAATTTGCTTTATAGTTTGTTTTTTTTTTTTTAAAGAAGATAAAAAGACATATGAAAAAGAGGAACGTGATGGTGCACAAAAAGTCAAAGGCATAATTTATGGAGCAAAGCATGCACATGATTGAGGTTTGCTGTCTTTGGTAACAGAGAACATGCAACGACCCACTGGGCCCACTAAATAGTTAAGCATTCCCTGTCTGTTCTGTTAGCCCAATACTAGCCTGAAAGGGGCAAGCTGGGCCCAAGATGGCATGTGCAGCCCAAAAATGGTTTCAGTTTTTTGGATTCATCTTTTAAAAATTCAAATGCACTGACCAGTGTAGAAAAAGGTTTTCAGTAATTAAAACCATTGATGACATTTATCACTTTTAAGAATGATGTTCATAACTATTAATTAATTGTAACCTTCTTTTAATATAGTTTCATGTGAGTTCACACCAAGTCACTTTGATTTTCACACACGTTTAAAATATATATTCTTTTAATTTTAATTTGTTTTTTACATTGAAACAATTAAAAACAGTTTTATAACTATCCTAGTCACCCTTCAGATATTTTGGGCAACTCTAATATTGCCACGTCTTTATCACGTTAGTATTTTTAGTGACTCTGCCCCTTCCAGATGCGGATCGACTGATGAGCGCAGGGTCTGCAGTTTAATATCTCACCATCAATTTTTTTTTTCTATTAATCTTTTATTTATGTTTAACGAGTCTTGGTGCAAATAATTCACGATACCAGATTTCAGTGATTTCCTTAATGGATTTTCGTTGCACCTAGAGATTCAACACTTGCGAGAGGTATCGCTTTTGGAGTTTCGCCGCATGATTCCATGTGAGTATGTTTTCAACACCGTAGCTAAATTCACTCTGATTTGAATGATGTAATTGATTTTGAATCGACCCTTTACGGTTTTTCAATCTTTTGTCAATTAATTTTGATAAAATTTTGACCTTTTCCACCCTTTCTACCAACCCTTCTAGCAGCATGTTGAAGCGTGGATACAAATCAAAACAATGGAGTGGCGCTCTCAAATGCCGGGTCTCTGTTTTTCTTATGTTTTTTACTTTGATGCTAGTGTTAGTGGTTTTCTTGTTAGTATTTCATAGTGATAGTGATGGTGTTAATCCCGGTTTAGCTGATGAACGTCCTGAACAAAAATGGAATAGCTTTGACACGTTGGTGCATTTGCATCCCACAAAAGAGTTCCGGAATGGAACTGATTTGATATGGCAAGTGCCAGAATCACCTAAAGGTGTTCTCTTTCTGGCTCATGGATGCAATGGCAGGGCCATCAACTTTTGGGATAAATCCCCTGAATGCCCTGATTGCATTGGTTTGCCTGAAGAAAGGTTGCTTGTGCTTCGTGGTCTTGCCCAAGGTTTTGCTGTTATTACTATTTCAAGTGCTCAGAGATGTTGGACATTTGGTAAAGAAGTGTTGGTTATTAAAGACATTATAGAATGGTGGATTGGTAAAAGGAAGCTTGAGAAGCTTCCTCTTGTGGCTTTGGGTGCTTCTTCTGGAGGTTATTTTGTGTCTGTGCTTGCCACCACTATGAACTTTAGTAGTATCGCGCTCATGATTGCGGAGGGCATGTTTGAGCAAATTGATGTCAAAGGGGACTACCCACCTACCCTTTTTGTTCACATGCCCAAAGATCTTTACAGGCAGCAGAAAATAGATGAGTATGTGGAGGTTCTAAAAGATAGAGGGATTGATGTTGGTGTTGTTGAATGTGAGGAGTTCCCGTTGTCACCCAATACTTTAGCTGATAGAATTCCAGGGCTTGATCTGTCTCTTTCTAGAAAGTTATTTGAGTTCTTTCAGGAAAAGGGGTTTATTGATAAAAATGGTTTTATGAAGAAAGATGGGCGTAAAATCAAATGGATAGAGGCTCTTGAGGAGAAGAAAACTCTTCTGCTGAATAATAATCTGGTCTCTCATATTCAAGAGGAGCTAAACCTTGCATTTGCTTACCATGAGATGACTAGCTTGCATTCTGAACAAATTTTTAAATGGTTTGAATTTCACATGAGCTGATCAAAACTTTCCTGCATTGAAACCACTAGTATATGATGGACCTATCCTTCTTCTCAGTTTTTCGGAAATTCTGCTATAGTGGTTTCTTATGAGATACCAAGTCTAAAGGGCTGTAATTTTCTTGATTGGGCGTGACTGTGAGAAGTTATCATGTGGAAGGTATGCCTCTGAACCTTTGCACCAATACCATATGTGCTTTGGCAAGTAGTATACTGAATGTTATCCTAGATTTTGTTGAATTTGTGATCCTTCTATTAAATTTTTTCTTGAGATTGGAATAAAAAATCCTCGATTAATCTTTGAAATTTGAATACCCTGGTGGAGTTGTATTTTAAAATACCCTTTTGTAATATGGCTGTCAAATTATGTGCCTGACCCTGCAAGCTTGACTGCTAGACTTATTTTCCCTATGCTCTAAACCCAAGTTGATATCCATACCTGGTGAGAAAATGTGGAAATATTTGTCTAACAAATTTTATAATTTAGGCTATCATAATGTTTAATAAGAAAGTAAATGAGTATAATTGAAGCAAATTTTGTTGAAGCGCTTTTATTTTCTTGAATTTTAAGTTTGTAGGTCAAGAATTATGACAGTATTTTCATTAAAATGCTGACAATTTTCCTTGTCTTTTTATCCTTTGCTTGGAGTGATGATGAGGAGTGGAAAGGAGAAAAATTATACGAGATGGTGAAGGATGTCACCGTTTGGAATGTGGATCTTTAGAAAGAGCACACACAAAAAAAGGAATGAAATCTGGGAGTCCCTTTCCACTGCTCTCTATTCCCTTCCTTTCTACTCTCCAAGTTGACAGCAAGGAGGATTGGATGGAACAAGTTATAAAATTATCTTTTTCTATTAATCCTAAGGTTTAATGTGTTTAAAATAAGGTAACATGGGAACAATAAACATGTAATTCTTGCAATTCCATTCACTTCCACAGGAATTATGAATTGAAACTTTCTTCCATTTCATCAATTAATATCCAAATTCTTGTCATGATCTAGAGCTGTTGTTGTCTCTTCAAGTGGAGGTTCTAAGCAACATGAAGGCCTTCATAGCTGTTGTTTGTCATCTTAACCATTTAAAAGCTTTCGGGGCTTCAAAGTTATATGCGCATTGGGATTTTTATAGTTAAAAGTTTTTGGTTGATTTGGATAAACTAAAATGAATGTTGTCATATACTATGTAACTTAGTAAAAGTTACGTTGGAATTCTTTTATGATAAAGTAATTTTCTTCAAGTTTTTTTTTTTTTTCAGAATTCTGTAATTTCTACTTGTGAAAAACATAACCCACTTTTTCTTACTCATCTAATTAATATTATTTTTTAGATACAGTTTTGAATTACAAAAAAAAAAAAAACTCAAAGCAAATATCAACGCAAGTAAATATATATAACATATATTTACCTTTATAAGTACAGTAAAGTAGCAGAGGCCTTTTTAAGATCTCAGTTATTATCTTGCTCAATATTTGGTAAGTTGCAGATGCGTTTTGGGTTTCGCTTGTGCGTTTGTGCTTTACAGATATGATGAACCTTTTTACATTACACTGGGAAGACTACCCTCCTTTTATAGTCTTTACCTACCAATTTAATTGTTCTGGACCATACCACAGCCTTGTACGCTTCTCGTTGAGGAACTTAAAAAGGCATTAATTGGAGTTCACATGGCGCCTTAATCCTTCATCTGCGACTATAAGTCATCATTCCCAATTCACATACCATTGCTACCATCGTGGTCCATCTGTTGTCTTTGTTTTTATATTTATTGACAACAAAACCATTCCCTTGCACTTCACTAGGAAACAATTCTAGACACATTCATACTTTATATTGTGGACCTTGCTCATGTTTGTAAGACTCTCCAAATCGTTCTTACAACTTGAATGCAATTCATGTTGCATGAACTTACATCAATTCTAGACTAGGCCTATTTCTAGATTAGATTTTATGGATAATCAATTTTTTATAAAATTATGCATATCCTTATTGGTGGACCTTCATTGATGAGAAGGTGATGCACCGCTTTATTGGTGAAAGTTCTGTGTTGTACCTAAAACAATCCTCAGCTTTATTTGATGATATATAGCAGTTCTGATTTTGTCTTCCGTTTTAGCGGAGTTGATGAGATTGTTATATGATGAACAGAAATCTATATTATTCAGAACTTAACATTTTATCATATATAATGAAAATCTTGAACTATCGAAGTAACAATATATTAGTTTTATTACAAAATAAGAAACCATGAAGGCTACATGAACTTGAAAAGTAAAACGATATCCATCATACACATGATAAAAACCTAAAAACACACTCTTAGAAGTCTTGGATATGATATTCTTAACAAAATAAACTGACACAAACCAAATTAGCTATATCATGCTCTAGGCTTCATTCGCCCTTCATTAGCCATCCTGAAGAGGTTGGCTTGTGCTGCTGCATCCTTATTTGAGGCAAGAGATGCTACAAAATTGTCTCTGACTTGCTGGGTTGTATAAGGGAACCTGTTGTTCACCAAGGAGTTAAGAAAGGAAGCTGTCCCTTCTCTGTAGAGTGCTCCAAGCCCATCAGTTCTAGTGTTGGAAAGTGCTTGTGGCAAGCTGAGACTGGCACCGAAACCTGGCACGTTAGAGACACCAAATACATGGCCTAAAGTTCCCCACCAGCCTAGCAATCCCCAGATGATTCCCGGGTGAGTACTCCAGTAGCTGCAATTTAGAGGACAAGGACAATCCATAGGTTACTTAACAGTGTCTGTATATCATATGATAGTTTACAGTGCAATGTAGTGAGGGGAACTTACTTGCATGTACCAGTGAAGGGAGTTGGGGAAGGAAGGTAAGGGGGTGTGGAGGGGATGGTGGGGGTGCCTGGGTCGATTGGGGTTGAAGGTGGGGTCACAGTGATTGGGGGGCTACCACCTCCATAAGTTGGTGGTGAGTTATAGTACCCACCACCTCCTGAGGGAGGATTTGATGGTGTTGAAGGGGTTGATGGCGTAGTTGGAATTGAGGGTGTTGGAGTAGATGGCTCTTGTGGTGGAGTTCCACAGTTGCTACCCTGAGGTGGTGAAGGGGTTGGATTGTAACTTCCACCACCCTCGGGAGGTGATGGGGTTGGATCATAGCTTCCACCGCCTGGGGGAGTTGATGGGGTTGGATTGTAATATCCACCACCTGAGGGTGGTGATGGGGTTGGGTCATAGCTTCCACCACCTGGGGGAGTTGATGGTGTTGGATTGTAACTTCCACCACTACCGGAGGGTGGTGATGGGGTTGGATCATAGCTTCCACCACCTGGGGGTGTTGATGGTGTTGGATTGTAACTGCCACCACCACCTGACGGTGGTGATGGGGTTGGATCATAGCTTCCACTACCGGGGGGAGTTGATGGGGTTGGATTGTAACTTCCACCACCACTTGAGGGTGGTGATGGAGTTGGATCAGAGCTTCCACCACCCGGGGGAGTGCATGGAGTTGGATTGGAACTTCCTCCACCTCCGTGTGACGGAGTTGCATGATGAGATGGGGTTCCATGATGAGAGTGTTTTCCATGATGAGAGTGTGGTGAGCTTCCATGACCCCCAGCTCCGGAGCCATGAGATGGAGAGCAGTATGAACCTTCAAGAAGTAAAAGCAACGTATACTTAGATTAGATAGTGAAAGCAATGCACACAATTAGTAAAAGCAAAATCAAAATAGCATCTTTATGAGCTTTTGATCTTTCACACTTCAAATTTGAATGTAAATGACCTAGTGTAGCTATCAAGGAAAGGTTAAGAGCCTTTTAATAATATCTCTATGTATTTTGCATAAATAATGAAGCAAAAACTATGGTTAGGTTAGAGAATTACACAGAGAATTTGATAAATCTGTGGGAGGACTTCCTTCATGTGGACCTGGAGGGTAGTTCTTCTGTTCCTCAATTGGGGTAGTGGAACACAGCACAGGGATGACAAGGTTCTGAGAAAGCACTCCAACTAGCAAAGTGAACATAGTGAGAGAAGTAGGACTGTGTCTTTTCCTCTCCATTATAACTGACTCCTTAGAACACTCTGAGAAAGAAGAGAAGGGAAGGTTTGAGTTTGGAGAGGGGAGTAGAGTGGGAATAATATATAGAATGGTTCACAGAGTGGAGTAAATATTAGCAGGTGGAGGAGTATGAGGGTTAGTTGATGTTTTGCAGGTGCATTTACTCCATATTTACTACTACTTCATGCAATAATGCCTGAATTTTCTAAAATAGCTTTAAACGCTGGACGTGAATTCAGTTCAACACGTACCCGAATAATGTACACTCTCTATTAACTAAGGAGTTGTTACTTGTTGATCATAAGCTTGAGCTGGATTGTACTGAGAACACTCAGTAGCTTTGAGTGTGAATTTGGCATATACTGTACCAATTACATCCATGCTATGCTTACTCGAAAGGAGTTTAGTTTATCTTCTGAAAACTTAGTAAGTGTTATACCTTTCTTTATCTTTCAATAAATCAAAACACTTGCCACAGAAATCTCCAGCACCCCATGCATTTATTGGGGCTGATGGATCCGTGCCCCAGGAATGATTTTTCAATATTATGCCCTCGAAAGATTTAGGTATTTTAAATGACACTCTCAAAATTTTCCGGGGAGATGTGCACAAATATATAGTCATATGTATAAGATGTATTGTATACTCCCATGTATTCATAGATATATGAAAGCTGATAGTGCAATAGAAAAACCACAAGATTGGTGTAATTTTTCAATTTCCCTAACCTATTTTTCACTTTACATGGACACATAATTGACTTAAAGTAACCACGGTGATCACTGTTCATTTTTTTGTGTACCATGTCTACCACATAAATTGTAATAAATATCAGTATACTGATATTTATCAAAACCACAAAAATATACCCTATTGAACTTAAGGGAATTCAAGAATAAAAAAAGATGAAAAGAGATTCAAGTAGTGTCTAAAATTACAAGTGAGTCATTCCGAACTAAATGAGAATGGCAGAGAGTAGGTGAGTTTACTAAAATATGTGGGGGAGAGTAGTGAATAGGAGTGACTTTTTCCCCCTTTTTTGCCGGTAAGAATACAACTGGCCTCACATTTTGATAGAAGTATCATTAATCTAGCATCACTTTCAATTTCTACATCAAAAATTTGTTTTTTATACTCTGATATCGTGCCCGAATTGTTATTTTAAAATGACAATGACCATATAATGTGTAAAGTGTATATATCTGTAAAAATAGATTCATAGTGGTGAACCATTAAAAAGAAAAGCACTTACTACATGGTGTCAGTGAAAGAAAATTTGAATGGTTAATGAGTTGGAAAAAACGAGGAAAAGAGTTGACCAAAGTATTTGTTGATACTTAAATGTGTGTAGTGTATAGGAGCAAGACAAGGTGGGGTATGAGGTATGGCATACAGGTAAAGACACAAACGACAAAGGTGTTATTTATTTGTGAGGAAGTAAAATGGTTATCGAAGTTGTAACTCCAATTTCATGGACTGTCACTGTTTTGGGAAAGGTGGTTTCTGAACTTTCTGAGACCATTCATTTCGATACGAGAACAATTTGCATTGCTATGGAAGGTTAGGTTTAGGTTTTACTAGAAAGTTGTATCATCTACTCCATCTTTTCATTTTTTTTATATAAATATTTATGAAACATATACCTTTTCTATATGAATTTATCATTGTAGGTTCTACTTAGTTCCATTTCTCAAAAAATTCAATTTAACTATTTCACCATACATTTAGTTCATAGCCAACTTGTTTTTGTAAAAATACTAGATAATTCAAAATTTCATGCTTTGATTTTCTTTAAATTTTTTATTTGGTTTGTGTATAGTTTTATTTAAAAATAAATAAACCAAATCAAATCATTTTGCAAAATAAGCTGGTTCTATTTTACATTAATTATTAAAATTAACTTTAAATAATTTCTTCTGATTTTCCTACTTTTTTTATCCAAAGACAGTATGAATTTGAATTTGAAAGAGACATTTAAATAATTTCTTCTGATTTTTTTTTCTCTCCTACTTGAAAGAGCAATCAGGGTTTTCATGAAAATCTGACTTCATTAGCTTCGGCAAGGAGAGATTACATTAGAGTTTGGAAGAAACATTTACACGTTCTGATCACTTTTTTTTTTTCTTTTATCTGTGTAATTGTATTATATTTTATGCAATATCTTAAAAGATAATGCTGATCTCCATGGTGGTCATTGTTTGATAAGAAAGTGTTGGGGGCATTGACTGCAACAGTTTAAGGGGTCTGAGTGTATCACATGCTATAAACGCTATTGCTTTCTTCGAAGTCCACAGTCTCAATCTATTGGCAATCTGTTTCGGTGCTTACCATATTCATTCATTCTCATACCCTTTTATGTATGTATTTACCCAAAACATAATAGTTGGTAACCATGAAATGTGGGAGCCAGCACATGCAAGCTTTGAGCCATTGTTGATTTTGCTTCTGTTTTAACCACTGTTTAGTGAAGCCATATTAATAATAATGCTGGAGATTCTTTCAAAAAAAAAAAAATTGTTGATTATTGTGTTCACAAAACTTGGTTAACTTCAACAGCCTTCTTCAGAAAATTTTGACACTCTGTGGCGTGATATGATGAAGACTAATCACTGTTATTTATCGAATCTGTCCTCTAAAACTTCCCACTTCCCTTTTAAGAAATGACACACATGACGTCTTTCTGTGCCAAATTTATCGTATTTTAGTCAACCTCCAAAATATCTAAATTTAGTCCTCAAACACTGCTGAACATTAAAAAAAGATAGGCGGTTTATTAATTTAAGTCAAACAATCCATTATCTCTTAAACATGAAATTAGAAGGTGTAAGCAATTTGTTAATCTTGGCCGCACAATCTATATTGTAATTAATAATCAAACAATTAGTCAAATTTTGGTGACAATGAGCGAGTACAAATATTCTTATCAATGAAAACACAATATTTCTTGTAAAAGAACAACTGTATACAATTCATTCACAGCTTGAATCCAGTTTCTTTTACACATGCAATGACGAACCTTCTCTGCTAAACATTCCCCAAGAAGCAATAAATTGGTAACGTGAGAATGATGCTGATTTAATTTATATCACCTCCTAAAACTGTGTTTAAAATGATTCAACCATTGTGCTTAGGCGGTTCCAAACAACATTATCTCCCACATGATCAGCCTACCTTTCTAGTTACTTTAAAAAGATATTGCAAAGTAGAGATTCGAAGACGGTGATTCTGCACCATCAGACACCAAGCAGTATTTACATTGCTGCAATAATGAGCAATCATCATGACTGAAACATGATCCAAAGTCACATAAAATAACCACACTTCACCAGATTTTTAGGGATTCTTGGTTAACTACAAAGCTTCTAGCGTTGACCATGAAGAGAAAACTATTTTTATTTTTCATCTTGAATTTCTCAGGTATGTACTGATGATTACGTGTCATTCTTTTGGCAGAATGAATCTATTACTAGTTCAAGGATCCTACTTAGTATTTCTTTTCATAAGCTCTTATGCTGTAGTATTGTTTCTCTCTTTTCTTTAGTTATTTGACCAGGATCACAGGCTTGCAAATAAGAAGTTTATTAGAAAAGGATTGACTTCAAGGATGATCCATATTATAATTATCATAAATTTCATTGGGTTTGACTTATTCCACAAACTACAGGTCCCTATAAATATGTGCTGAACCAAACAATCAATATTTCAGTTTTCAAAAAATTTATAGATACGAGTTCAAAATTGTCAAAGTACTTGATCCTGAAAAGTTCACCAATGTTTGGGGATATTGTCTATATTATTTTGTGGGGTTTGTTTCCCCTGCTACTTTTGCTAGTGTCTTTCAGTTTCTTGAGGCACAAGCAAGGCTGCAAAGACAAAAGAAAGCTGCCACCAGGAGAAATGGGGTTTCCATTGATAGGGGAGACCATGGAATTCTTCAATGCTCAAAAGAGAAACCAATTGTTTGAAGAGTTTGTTCATCCTCGCATTCTGAAACACGGGAAGATCTTCAGAACAAGGATCATGGGGTCTCCAACCGTGGTTGTAAATGGAGCTGAGGCCAATAAATTCTTATTGTCTAATGAGTTCAAGTTGGTGAAAAGCTCTTGGCCTTCTTCAGCAGTTGAGCTCATGGGAAGGGACTCTATCATGGAGAAAGATGGTGAAAGGCACCGGTTCCTCCGCGGTGTTATTAGCACAACCCTTGGTTATGCTGGACTTGAGCTACTAGTTCCAAAACTGTGCAATTCTGTTAAGTTTCATTTAGCTACAAACTGGAAAGGACAAGAAAAAATAAGTCTTCACCGTTCAACAAAAGTGCTCAGTTTTAGCATAGTGTTTGAGTGTTTGTTGGGGATCAAAGTGGAGCCAGGTGTGTTAGATATCTTTGAAAGAGTGTTGGAAGGAGTGTTTTCCCCAGCAGTTATGTTTCCAGGTTCAAAATTTTGGAGGGCAAAGAAGGCCAGGGCGGAGATAGAAAAGATGTTGATCAAAGTGGTGAGAGAGAAGAGAAAGGAAATGGAAGAAAGCTTGGAAAGAGAACAAGATGAAATGCTGCTGTCCAAACTGGTATCTGCGATGATCCACGGGGAGATCAGTGAAAAAGAGGTCATAGACAATGTGGTGCTACTGGTCTTTGCAGCTCATGATACCACTTCTTTTGCTGTTGCTATGACATTCAAGATGTTGTCTCAGCATCCTGATTGCTATGGAAAAATTCTTGAAGGTAATCTAATGTCAACAACATAATTAAATTAGTGTTTAGTTTTTATGCACGTACTTTTTAACAATAAAAAATCATACTTATAATGAGTGTATAGATTATTGAAAGTACTTTTTAACAAAAAAAATAAATAAATCATATTTTAAGTTGATTGTTGAAAGTACTTAATTTATGCAGAACATGTAGCCATAGCGAACAACAAAAGCCAGGGTGAGAATCTCACAATGGAGGATATAAAGAAGATGAAGTATACCTGGCAAGTTGCTAGAGAAAGCATGAG